GCAGTACCTGTTTTCTCTAGAAGGAATGCAAGCTATAATCAATCAATGAACTCTGAAATGAATCTATTAGCAAGGGGATTGATGAGATGAAAAGTTTCAGAATGCATTGAATTATTATTGTAACATGTACAGTATTAGTGGAATCATTAATTTTACAAAGTTATGTGCACTTTAGATCTTTATCAATTGTTATAGCTTGGGTTAATCACATTTTATCCCCTTAAAGAATACCCCATTTCTCAGTTTATCCTCAAACCTTTAATTTTGCTCACTTAACTCCCTTTAGGACAAAATTGCTCTTTTATTATTATGACTTTTCATTTATCTTGTTTTCCTTTCTTTTATTTCTGTTTCTCTTTCTTCTTTATTTAATTCTTCCTCTTTCCCACAAAAATCTTCATCTTAATGATTGAAATTAAAAAAGAGAAATTGCAAAGATCTATCTTCTCCTTAAATGATTAAAAAAATAGTCAAATCACTTTCCTAAAATACAATTTTTTTAGCCTTTCAATTCTTTTAATTTTGGGTGTTCCTCTTTCCTTTCTAGTTTCTCATTTTATTCCTAAAAAATATCTTAAAATGAAATTGTAACCTGATTAATAATCATCAATTGAAATTTGTGACACGTGGCATCATACAAAAAATCAAAATTAGTTTTTGATACCTTTTAAACCTTCACCCAGAAATATGCAATTACAAACTAAAAACAAAAAATTTCGTTGAAATGGAATTTCTATTGAGAAAGATGAAAGAGAGAAGAAAAAGAAAAAGAAATAAAAGAAAGGAAAACAATTTCATCTTATGATATTTTCTTGAGAATAAAATGAGAAACTAGAAAGGAAAGAGGAAAATCCAAAATTAAAAGAATTGAAAGGCTAAAAAACTTGTATTTTAGGAAAGTGATTTGAATATTTTTTTAATCATTTAAGAAGAAAATAGATCTCTACAATTCCTCTTTTTTAATTTCAATCATTAAGGTGAAAATTTTTATGGGAAAGAGGAAGAATTAAATAAAAAAGAAAGAGAAAAAGAAATAAAAGAAAGGAAAACAAGGTAAATGAAAAGTCAAAATAATGCAAGGGCAATTTTGTTCTAAAGGGGGTTAAGTGAACAAAATTAAAGGTTAGGGGGTAAACTGAGAAATGGGGTATTTTTTAAAGGGATAAAATGTGATTAACCCTTATAGCTTATCTTGTTCTTTTAGAAACATACATCTGACTTGTAGCAAAGAGTTAGAATCCAAATTCATGCACTACAACATTGAATGACTCCCTTAATCAATTTCCAATCCTAAAGCCTGATTGATGTGAAATCTTCCAAAGGATGAAATTTTAAACCAGTGCTCAAGTTTTTACTACAATTTAAGAGTTAAGACTTGTACTGCTAGTTCAATACATATCATAATCCAACACTTGGCAGTTGAAGTTGCAATTCAATTACATTGCCATCAAGTTTCTCAAGATACAGTAAGCTTACATCATGGCCAGTTGATGGCTACTACTAAAGTTTGAATAGGAACGTCTAATCAGTGTGTGTTATAGAGTTTCTTATTGTGAAATGTGGATAGAGTGCCACATGCACATGGCTCAAATTTTCTTTCCTTTATGGAAGAGTGGGGGTACATACCTCTAAATTCTGACGAATTCATATATCTATGTGTGCTGCAGATGTGCCTTTGTCTATGATCGGTCCATATGAATCCATAGGCAGTTCTGATGCAGTACTAAAAAGGCATTTCATTTCTTCTTTATATATCTCTCCAAGTACAGATCTTCAGCCTCTTGCAACACCACATACACCTTCACCACTGATGCCTTTCACATATAACGGCTTGCCAAATTTTTCTGGTACATTTCACTTTTTCTTTGCATGGTTCATACTGTTCTGTGCTTCAATTTAAGGATTTTAATTCTTGACTGTATTAGTCATGCATTTTATCTCTTACTAAAAACAAAAATAGTTAATAAGAAATATGGTGAACTCCAGTTCTCTGTTAACAAGGCCATTGTTTTGACCAAGATAGCCTACCAGTTCAGGATTTTGAGTTCAATATATCCCTACCGTGTTAGAAACCAGAAACAAAATTATGTGTAAGAATAGTTGTCTTTCACGGAGGTGAAGCTTTACCACTTATTAGCAATATCTTAGGCTTGTACATTTTTACATAAAACATTAAAGTTCTGTAATTGAGTTGCATCTGAACTGGTTGTATCAAGTCTTCCGATTGATGAAGAATTTGATGTAAAAAGATGGAAGGGCAGAAGATTGGCTGTGTTTTGATGACATTTATTCATCCAAAAAAAATTCTACATCTTGAAGTTGCTTTAATCTTCATGTTCACCTACATAAGAGGTTGTTATTAATTGCAGATTGATTGTGTGTTGATTTAGCAGGATGTTGTATGTTGAACTTTTTTTCAGCTGAAAGTATATCGAGTGTGATAGCAACTGATTGCCGGTCTTCCCTAGCACCATATCTTGCAAATGTGGCCTGTTGTCCTTAATATGAGGCCAGCCTTGTAGTTCTCCTTGGACAGTCAAGCAACCATACTGGAATGCTTGCATTAAATGAAACACATACCAGTCACTGCATTTCAGATGTTGAAAAGATCCTGGAAAGTCAAGGTGCCAATGAGAACCTTGACATGATATGCTCAATAGGTCCAAGCAATCTCGCTGCAGCTTCGTGTCTTACTGTAGATGTTCATAAGGTTGACAGCGTTCTGGCTTCATTAAGACTTTCAGATTCATGTGATAATATTGATACCAAAAATGAGTGCTGCAATAGAATTTGCCAGAATTCCATATCAGCCGCAGCCAAAAACTTGTTTTCAGCAATTACAACATGAAAACGTTGAGCAGCATTTCCATCCTACCTGATGAATCAGCTATTATAAGGGACTATGAATATCGTGCTCTGGTGGCTTGCCAATAAGCTTAATCCTTCTTCTGCAAACAGAATACATAGTGGTCTTCCTCGCTGTCACTTAAACAAGGTTTTCTTCTGCAAACAGAATACATTGAGGACTTTTTGCTGTCACTTAAACTAGGTTAACTAGGAGAAACAATAAGAAATGCACCTTGCATCTTTTTTATTTGCATGATAAACTTTGATAATTCACCTAAAGATAAGAGTATCTTATTTTCATCCTACTCTATGATTAGCCTGCCCACCGGTACTTTCGGATATCACTGAAATTTCTAAAGAATGCGGAGATCAAGTGAATAATAGGACATCTTGCTGCAGCGCCATGGAGAGTTATACGTCTCACTTGCAAGAGCAAAGCTTTATTACTAACCTGCAAGCAGTAAATTGTGCTTCCTTGCAGTGTGTTTAACATATCCAGCAATGTATGCGGTCTCTACTATATAAAGCTGAAGGACTTTTCACCTCAAGGTCAGTATTCCCTAATATCTCTTCATATATTTGACTTTCCGAACATTACTTATGGGAACTTTTTCCATCCATAAATTTGTGGATCATCATGGTGTGCCATCTGCTGAGAATTGATTTTTTTCACCAATTGACTCAAAAGGTAGTAGTTTGAACAGATAGTCCAATGTCATAAAATATCTCTCTCTCTATGTCGTGATCTATTTCCTTGTAAGCTATCAAACTTTTTCTTTACAAAAATTAATTTAACAATGAATGTCAATTTGGTCTTGCCATTGATTAGTTTCCCACTTATATTCTCCAGAATCTGGTTGCCTCATTCCTAGATTGCCTTGGGATGTAACATTTAATGAAAGTTCAGGAATTTGATTCCTTTGTGATCTCAATGAAAATGTTGCAGCTCCTTGGCCTTCTGGTCCTATTGTTTCTGCTTCTTCTTCCTGCAATAAAACCAGCACAGGTACGCATGCAATTTCTTTTCTTTGTTTGTTAAGTAATGCAATAATTTCCTCTGCAGCTCATGACAGTCATCTTAGACTTCGGCTAGCTATTTGAGAAATTATCATCTTCTTTTCTTCTTTTATTCCCCTTGTCTTTTGATTGGTCCCTTGTATCTTTTGTCAAATTTAACTTCCACTATTGCAGGTAGTATACTACCAAAAATACCCACTGCAGCATCAGCTCAAATAGGTACGAGTACTAATTGATGTTCTATTAACAAACGCAAGTCATTTTTTCAGTTAAGTTCACAAAATAGATGAATACATTCTTTAGCAGATAATATCCTTTTTTCCACATCATTCGGCACTGAAAGATGATTCATTGAACCCTCTTAAAAGAAAAAAAAAAAAAAAAAAAAAGAATGACCTGACATTGTGAGCTTTGTTTAATCATTTCAATTAGAAGCATAGTTTCAGGTGAATCACTTGATATGGTTACATTATCTGAAACCACAATCCTTCCTTTACCACATTGCAAAGCTACTGATCATATTTCCCGCCCTAGACCAATTTCTTTTTGTCCTTTGCTCCTTTATTGGTTGCATAAAACTGAGTTCTTTGCAGTGTGAAGACTCTGAATTAGGCTCAAACTGAAATCAACCAACTATGAGCTGGAAAATAACTAGTTCCGATTGTTCCTTGATTAAATGTTACTAACCTCGAATCTTGCCTCTTCATACATTGCAGGACTATGGATTAGCAAGTTGATGCTTGCTTTACTGGCCACCTCAAACATTCTCTGATTTTTCGAAACAAAAGTTAATACCATATCAGATGACATATACATGTGCATGGCTCTTGCAAGAGAAAACTCCTGATACATTTGTTTCTGAAAAAGATAAAAAATCATTCCATACAAGTTTGATATGTTCATAGATAATTGCTGCCAAAGAAGCAGACATAAAAGGCTCAAGTCACACAGAAAAGTTGATGTGCAAGCTTCTTCTATTCATTTATTCTAAATGTAGATACTTAACTCCGTAAGGGATTTGAATGTTATTCCGATCCTTCTCTAACATGCATATACAATCCTAACCCCAATCAAAAGGATTTAACTAAAGAATTATCAGTGGAACTAGAGATATATAATTGCTTGAAATGGAAATCTAGAAAAAGCGCAAACATAGAAAGGTTTAAATTGATAGAGTGAAATCTCTTTCTTGAAGTACAATATGACCAAAAATTTTGGCATTATGCCCCAAAACAGTTTTGTTGGTAATCAAGGAATAGTCACAAAAAACTGTGTCGCTGCTCCAGTTACAACCAAGCACAGAAAAAACATCATCTAGGTAGGAATAAAAAGCCAAACATGACGAAGAGCAGCAACTGTAATACAGTTAAAGAATCCTCCATGCACTTATCGCGTTAGGGTCGGGTTGGGGCACCGGGCCCGAGTTGCAGGGGATTAGTCGAGCCCGTAAAGATTTACTCGGACACCGCTGTGTCGACAAAAAAAAAAATAATAATAATAATACAGCTAAAGAAGAAGCACGTCTTGAAAGGAAATTTGGTACTGGTGGACAGGGCTTCAATTAACACTTATTTTTGCAACATCACCTCTCTTGCAGGCTGCAGCAGCAAGTTTGTGGCTACCGAGTAACCTGAGAAATATTGACAAACAACGCTTGATCAGTGTAGTCAGAAACACAAAGCTAATTCATCCATGATACTAATTCAATGTACAATAATGTAAATTACTTTGCAGTTCTACTTCCTTTCCAACTTATTGTAGCTCTCAATATGAAATTTAGAATTTAAACATTTGCCAACATATACATCTATAGCTTTATCTGGAAAGCCTCTTCAAAAAAGGGAAAAATCAAGACAACCTTCAAAACCAAGAAATGAAAAAAGAAAAGAACATAGAGATCAGCTCATTCACAGAATAAATTAATAAAGACACTAAACTCAGAAATGAACAAGAAAAAAGAAAGAAAGAGAAAATAAAATATTTAAATTTAAAAAATTGTGAAAAATTAGAAAAAGTATTAAAAAGCTGTGCACTAGAGTATATCAATGATTATAAGAAAAGGGTGCAGTTAGCAATTCCTCTCCATCGGAAAGGTAGTCGGCAGAGGAAAAGTTGAGCCTCTCTAGAAAAAGGGAAAGACAGAGATCATTCCACAGCATAAAATGAAAAAAGAAATTTATAATGACATTGAACTCAAAAATAAATAAGAAGAAAGAGAGAGAGAGAGAGAGAAAATAAAGTACTTAAATCCATTTTCCCATACAAAGCGTCAAAACAAAAAAAAAATGAAAAAGAAAAAGAACACTATATGTAGTAAATCACGTAAATTAATTGAAGAAATAGTTCTGCACCGCAACATTGAAATAGCTAATATTGATTCCTACGCAATAGAAAACCTACGCTACTGGAGAAGTAGATCATATTTTGGGAAATTTCAAAGAAAGGGGATACTTGGTAAGACAGGGTTAGAGGGAGGGGAGGAATCACGTACATAAGAACCAATCCGGATTTTGATCAAATAGGTGGCCTTCAACACCCAGTTCGAACTTCATCACCTTGCTCTAAAAAGTGGGTCAAGGGCATTTTTTGGGTAGGAATTGTCCCACTCTAACGATTCCCACCATTCTTTATCTCCCCTGATCATCCCAAGTTTGCTAGGAGGACATGGTGGTCCGTCAATGGAGGAAAGAAACGAAGGAAGCCTCTTTACCTTTGGACAATCGAATACTTCAATCTCCTTAATGGAATTGCATATCATGGCTGCCTTGCAAATGTTCTTCAGTTGCGGCAGCCCATTCAGAGTCAATCTCCTTAATTTTGGAAGGATGACAGTGGCGGTGGCTTCACTTGAAGCCAATTGGATGCCTTCTCCTCCTTCTTGCCCTACTCCATAGCCATCTGCTGCTATCTCCTCCAATCCTTCACAGTCTTTAACATTTAAATTTCCAAGATTTTGAAGGGTCTGCAACAACTGCACTGTGAATAGCTGCTTCATGTTGTGACATTCATGAATCCACATTATTTTGAGGGAAGAAAAGGTGCCAACAGGAAGCAAATATGGTTCTGATCCTCCGTAAAAAAGACCAACCAGGTTTGGCAACCTGGAGAGCCCTAGCCGTTCGAGATGACAGAGTGGACTAAGAGACGAGACTTCCAACTGATCATGTGGAGAAGCAGGGGACAATTGCCAGAGGAACTCTATTCCAACTGAATCAACAATATACAATGCAAATAAGTGGCTTAAATTTATAAAATTCCTAAAAGCATCTGACAAGCACCTAATGCCCATGCCCTCACAATCCTGGATTCTCAGACTTTTCATATCATCTGGCAGATAGTTCGATCCTCTACCAAGCTTGCACTGATGGAAATACAGTTGTTTCTGGTAATACATATAACCCCGACTCTTAGTTAAGATGTCATTGATATAAACATTATAGTATTTTGGCCACCGAGTAATTTTGTAGAAGTCCGTAAAAGACAAACATCCTATGAAACCTTCTAATTGGTTCAGCACTTCCGGGTCATTAACTTGTACCTTACCAAAGGGTGGCAATATTAGCAGTTGAAGACGGTGGAATTGGGAAAATGTCCCTTTTGGTAATATCTTTAAACTTAAAGTCCGACACTCGTCCAAATTAAGCCTTTCGAGATTGACCAGTGACTCCCAACCTTGAGGTAAATCCTGAATCTTAGTTTTGGAAAGATTCAATTCCCTCAATTGCTTGAGTTTTCCCAGTGGTGGCACAGACATGAGGTCTGCACAATGTCCCAAAATCAAAGCAGTGAGATTCACCATGTCTGAAACACAATTAGGCAACTCTGTTATACCTTTGCACCCTTGTAGATTCAGAACTTTAAGTGCACACATGTGCTGAAAGAACGAATCTGGGATTTCTTTTAGGAAAACCCGAGAAAGAAGCAAGGTGGAGAGCTTAGGACAATTTGGTGACCAGGCTGGTGGAATTTCTATTCCTTTGAAATTTTTTGAACAGAAGGTAACTGCACGGAGATCTTGTGTCCACTCTTCTTGTTCCAGTATTACTTTTGAACGTCTCCATCCTAAGCTTTTCACCAAGAATCGGGGTACATCATCTCTGCTGCTCTCTGGTGTGGAGTTTCCATTCGTGATCCTTAATGCCATATCTCTGACCAGATCATGCATCTTTACACAGTCATCCCCTTTGGAATCTTTTGTTTCTTCCAGCAAGCAAACTCTTATCAGTTTGTTTAATATCGTTTGACCTTCATCAAATGCTTTTGACCTTGAGTCCCGTTTTGACATCAGCTCAGCCCAAATTAACAGGTCTATTAGTTTCTCCCTTTTTATATCACTATCTTCTGGATAAAGACAGCAATACAAGAAGCAATTCTTTTCACATTTATTCAGGCGATTGAAACTCCATTCCAGGATGCGAAACACCTTTTTTTCCATCTTGTCGTGCCCTATTGAACATGCTTTCAAGTCTTCCAATGCATTTCTCCATTCATAGATGTCTCTCAAACCTCTCATGCTCCCAGCCACTGTGACAATACCAAGAGGCAAACCATCACACCTTTCCATGATGGACTTGGCAATATCTTTCAAACCTCCATCAAGCGAGGTCTCGCTGCCAAGTGTACGCTCGAACAAACCCCAAGCTTCCTCCGTGTCCAAGGTTTTCAACTCAAAATTGCTATGGCATTGCATCCGGTTGCACACTTCTTTTGAGCGTGTAGTCAAAATCAATCTGCAATTTCTTGCATCAAGAGGAATCCCTAACCTGTCTAAACCAAAGTCTTCCCAAACATCATCCAATATGAGCACTACCATTTCCTCCATTTTCTCGAATGCGTCACGCAACCTACGTGCCCTTGCTCCTTCATCATCCACGTTTGACAGATCAAGCCTTAGGCGTTTAGCAATGTCACCTTGCAGCTTTTCGATGCTAAAATCTTGAGAGACAGAAATCCAATAAACCTTGAATTGAGTATTCTCAAGGAGATGATTATGGATGTGTTCCGCCAAAGTAGTCTTACCCACACCTCCCATCCCCCATATCCCAATCCTTAAGATCTCATTGGTGTCCAACCATGCCGGGATTGTTTCCAGACCTTTGCAAAACATTTTCCCAAATAATTCTGTTGTCACTCGTGGCTCACCTCTGCTCTCAGAAGCCTCAAGGCAAAGCTCAGCAAAATGATCACTATCACTTTGCACCATCAGTTGCTCTACAATCTCGTCCATTTTCTCCACTCCATCCCCACTGCTAAATGCATTTTTTAGAAGATTACCCTGTTCTACCCTCGTTTTCAATGCAACGAATTCATTCTCTATTTTTGCTACCTCCTCAAACCAATTCTCAACCTCCCTTTTCCTTTTCTTAGTACCTGATCTTTCTGCAACTTTCACTTTCGACTCGAAGTCAATTTTCCTGTTGCTTAATCTTTGCAACTTCGTTTCGAGCGACCTTAGATTATCACGCAAATGGTAACACTTCCTTCCTCTGTCGAATGCCAAATTCCCAAGTGCCTCCATTGTTAATTTTCCAGTTAGCTCAATTACCTATCGATTGACAAGAAAATCTCTAAAAATTCCAGTTATCTACCAATAACGTTGTTCAATAAAGGCAGCATAATAATCGTGACGTTCTTTGGGAAAATTTTGAAACAGGGCATTTCCAAACTTAGTTTGACAAATTTGAACCCGGTTAGTAAACTAAACAGTTAGTCGATTAATGTTGGATTCTACATAATGGTATCCTCAGCTTTCAATCAACGTTTCAATGATGCAAAGGAACTAATAGTAGTATTATTAGAATTTTCTCTTTGCATTTATTTATCAAATACAAGTCCTATCATATCATAACTTTTTTGCGCTGAATGAAATGTTCATAAAGTATACATGATGTTATTAAGCAGAAACATTCCAGTATACAGTAGTAATTTTATATTATTTTTTAGGTACAAGTGGTTCTTCTCACTAACATAATTTTTCTTTTTCTTATTTGAGGCAAATGGTATGTTAATTATTTTTAAAAAAATTTTTGATAAATAAATTTTAGGTCAATTGGTGTGTATGTTGAATTACTCACCACTCATTGCGTCTCATTTGACAAATAGCAAGAGTCCAAATGACAAAATAGTCCAATTAAAGGTCTCATAGAATTCAAGAATATATCAAACTTGGTCTGCACGTTGCTTAATAAAGTTCATAACACAATAGGTAAGTAGGAAAAGAAAAATCTTCCTCAGTCAATCAATATTGGATAAAAAAAAAAAAAAGTCCCCTGTGGTAAATCTAATATATTGAAAAGCCCCCCCCAATGATTTCAAAACGTACAAGACGACATCTCATGCTTTGAACCAAATTGTAAAGGTGACGGAATCCATTAAACTTAATAGAAATGACTTAGTAGAATTTTTAAAAAAAATTATACCTAATTTTTAACAAATATACCAATTCTACCCTTTAACCCTCAATTTTTTTTCTCTAGAGAATAAAATAAATGATTTTATTGAGTTGTCTTTTGCTTAATTATATTAGAGCATTTTTGTCATTTCATCTATTTCCATTAAGTTTAACGGATTCGTCACCTTTACAATTTAATTCAAAGTATGAGATCTCGTATTGTATGTTTTGAAATCATGAGGGGTTGTTCTGTATATTAGATTTACCATGGGAGCTTTTTTGTTTTTTACCCATCAATATTTATGCAACTATAAGCTCATCTATGATTCTTCCCATTGGCAAAAGTACAATATTTACTACAATATGTGGAGAAATATCAATGTGATATGAAGAACCATGTAAATTGCATGAAAACCCACTTCATTAGTGTTTCAAATAGATTACTAAGGTAGTTTTTTTTTTCTTTTCTATCGATTTTTAAATTTTGAGTGCATCAAATCAAAAAATTTAAATGAAATAGATAACAGGAGTTGTACCCTAATAAAGTGTCAGGATAATTATGTCTCAAATACATTATTTTTAAAATGGAGAAAGAGGATGAAGAATAAGAAAAAAGCGTCTCAAAACTTGAAAGGAAGGATGCTAATAAACATGGAGCGCTCTAATACCTTCCCATTATAGGGAAGAATAGCACATAAACACGTAGTCGTCCAATTAGGTGGACTTAATTAAGCATGTTAATAAATGAATCCGGATCCGGTTCTAGACTCGACAAGGTCTGATGAATTTGAATATCAATTTACTCTTAAAAACCCATCGTGTACGTAGATCCAATTTTGATGGTTTTGAGATCCCGATTTGGGTGAGTGTGTGTGTTTCTTTCAGTCGCTGGAAAAAAGAGATCCCGATTTGGATCAACTCATTCTGCCCAAGAATCAGCCCTATTACAGCCCTTTGTTTAGATCCAGGAAACCCATAAGGTCCTATTACTAGCCAATTTCATATTACTCTTCGAATTTGCAAACGTATAATTAATTTAGGTACATCAAATATTATTAAAGAAAAGCAGTTTTGATTTTCAAGCTTTTGACCACTATCTGATTAATATGCCAAACGAATTTTTGCTAATTGACTATTCTATTTTTCCTATTAATATTAATCTATTTTATTTTGCCCTTGAAGACATTTTTAAACTCAAAAATTTTCTTGCTCTTTTTAGGGAACTCTATATCTGAATTAATCAGGGAGAAGGGGATCTTCATGATAGTTGATTATAAAGTATAACATCATGGTAAGCTCTGGAATTTAGCAAGCTAGTAGTCCAAACATTTATCTTCTCTAAAGAATTGATAACAAAACTTTTGCACCTATAATAATGTCCAAATTTCTTGCCAAAAAAATGTCAATTATATAAAAAGCTTGAAGAGAGCACTCTATATATTGAAAGGGCAAAAAAAAGTGATGAAGATTTTTGGACCTCAAAAATCTAAATATACAACTACAAAAATTTACAAAATCAAGGTTGAGTGTGATATCATTGTACCTTAAAATAAGAATAAGTTATCTTCAAGAAGTTGAGAACTACAAAACTCTGCCAAAAGATAAAAGTTTGTATTATATTTTGATCATTGCACCATTGATTTTGTGGTGTAAATTTATCCCACTTGATGCAGCTAACTATTTTTTGTTTAGTGCATGATTCATCTGTTAAAAAAATTTCATCAAGAAAATGCATGTTCTTTGTTTGTCCCAAAACAAAAAAGAAAAGAAGAACTATGCACGAAAACCTACTTCATTAGTCTTTGGGTTAGATACCTTGTGTAATTTTTTATTTCATAAATTTTAATTTTGAGTACATCAAATTAAAGATCTAAACGAAATATGTAAAAGGAGCTGTACCCTAAAAAATGTCAGGATAAAAATGACTCAAACACTTTTTTTTCCTCCAAAAAAGAAGAAGAAGAAAATGTCTCAAAACATCCTACCTAGAAAAAAAATATGTCAACAACTTTTCCTTTTTTGAAAAAATTTGAAAGGAAGGATGCTACAGTACTACAATAGACTACTCTCCTCATTTCATACGTACATACAACTCATAACGTGCTCTAAAACATTTAATTTGGTAGAAAGAAGTAGTCCAATTATTCTGATTCAACTATGCATTTTAGTAAATGAAATTGATATGCAACTTTTTTTTATAACAAAAAAATTGATATGCATCTGATGTAAGAAAACTTTTATAAAAATTCAAGATTTTATGTAAAAGCTTATAAACTATAAGATTAAGGCCAAGATCCGTGTATGTTTCCACACTCAATAGAATCAATTTACTCCTATAGATCTATCCTGTGTCCGGATCTAATTTTGTTAGTATTAGTTAGGTCCATGTTTGGATCATCTCATTCTATCCTCTGCTACAAATTTTTGCCAAGAACTGTCGATTATGTAAAAAGCTTAAACAAAGCACTTCGTATGTTGAAAGAAGAACAAGTGACCAAGATGTTTAGGCCTCACAAATCTAACTATAACATGATGAAATGAGAAACAACTACAAAAATTTACAGTTTCAAGATCAAGGGTGATATTATTGTACCTTGAAATCAAGACAAGTTATCTTGAAGACTTGAAAAAGTTAAGAACCTCTAGACTCTGCCAAAAAATAAAATGTTGTATTTTATTCGGTCTTGCTTTCGCGACTATAATTGTTGAGTTTTGATGAATGAATTATAATTGAATCAAAATGTTGGTGCCAAGCAAAGCTATTATGTTAAAGTGGCGTTGTCCCACATCACCTTTTGTATAAGGGAATATTTCCCTTAGTTGCCTATAAATATAATGGGTCTATGATGGGATTAAGTGCACCAAACCAAGAGAGTTTTAGTGGGCTATTTGTGCCTTTGAGTCATTAAATCTTTTGTTTAGTAAAATATTTTTGGGTTCTCTTGTGTTTTAAGTATTAGATGCTTTAGGGTCTAGGAACACTTTCCTAAGTCATCTTTTCTACTCTCTTTTTCCTAGTAAAATATTGCTCCTCCTCCACCCATGGACGTAAGTCAATTTGATCGAACCATGTAAATTCATGTGTTCCTGATTTATTTAATTTTACTTTGTTATTTGTTCTTTTGGGGTTGGGAAAATTCCTTTCGTTAATTTTCTGGAACCAATCCTAACAAAATTGGTATCAGAGTTTCTTCGAAGGCATTGGATTTTGTGGAAATAATGACAATAACAAAGACTGTTGTCGAGAAATTCGACAGGAATGTCAACTTCGAGATGTGATAGCTCAAGATAGAGGACATTTTGGTTCAAGACGGAGTTGATTTAGCGATACATGGAATTGAGACAAAGTCAGAGGATGTGACAGATGCAAATTTTGCTGAAACGGATAAGAAGACAAGGTCCAATATTATTTTAAATCTCTCTGACGAAGTTAAGCGGGAGATAGCCACTGAGATTTCGACCAAGGTCATGTGGGACAAGTTTAAGGCCTGTATATGAAGAAAACAGTTGAAATTCGGCTTTATTTAAAGCAAAATCTGTATATGCTTCGCATGACTGAAGGTACATCTATACTCTCACATCTTAATAAATTTGATGCCATTATTATAAATTTGGAGAATATAGATTCGAAATTGATGATGAGGATTAGGTCCTATTACTTTTGTATTCCCTTCTCCTATCTTTTAAATATTTTTCACGATACTATGATTTATAGAAAAGAAACAATATCGTATCAAAAAATTAAATCTGCATTAAAATTTAAATAGTAGATAAATAGGAATATTACTGAGAAATTAAATGGAGGTCAGGCGGAAGGCCTGGTTGTTAGGGGCGGAACCGAGAAAAAAGAATTTAAAAGTAATAGATCTAAATTTAGATCTAAATCCAAACATAGAAATTTGAAGTGCAATTATTGTCATAAAATGGGACACATTAAAGCAAATTATTTTAAATTGAAAAATAGATTGAAGTAAAAGAGGAAATCTAATGAGAAAAATATTGAGACTACCAAAACTGGTGTTGCAGCTGATGAGAATGAAGGAAATATTTTCTTTGTGACTAATGACAGGACAAGGTATAAAAATAAATGGATTTTAGATTTGGGGTGCTCTTCTCACATTTGTCCCAATAGAGATTTATTTTTCACTTATAAATTTTATAATGGTGGAATTGTTTTGTTGGGCAATAATGCCGCTTGCAATGTTGTTGGTAAGGGTCCAGTCCGAATTAAAATGCATGATACTATTGTGAGGATGCTCACCAATGTTAGACATCTTTCTGATTTGAAAAAGAATCTCATTACTTTGGACACTCTAGAGGTTCTTGAGTGCAAATACACAGCTGAAAATAGCATTATTGAGGTTTCTAAAGGTGCTCTCGTTGTAATGAAAGCTTACAGGGTGGGTAGTTTATATATTTTGCAGTGATCTACTGTTACAGGCTTGACTACAGTTTCATCATCATCATCTTTATCTGATTCTGATATCACCAAATTATGGCTTATGCGTTTGGGACATATGAGCGAGAAAAGCTTGGACATACTAAGCAAAAGGGAACTTCTTTGTGGTCAGAGTACTAGGTCATTGGAGTTCTGTGAACAATGTGTCTTTGGGAAGCAAAAAAGAGTTAGCTTCAGTTCTCCAACAATCCATAAGACGAAAGCCTCATTCAGATTTATGGGGTTCATCTCGTGTTTCGTCTAAGGGTAGTGTCAGGTATATGTTGACTTTCATTAATGATTATTCAAGAAAAGTTTGGATTTATTTTCTTAAACATAAGAATGATGTTTACCTCACTTTCAAGCAATGAAAAGTTTTGATTAAGAAACAAACAGATAAACAGATCAAACGGTTTAGAACAGATAAAAACATGAAATTTTGTAAAAGAGAATTTGATAAATTTTGCAAGAATGAAGAAATTGTTCGGCATTACTATCAGGATGACGCCTCAGCAAAATGTATGGCCGAACATATGAATAGAAAACTCTTGGAGAGAGCGAGATCATGATCTCTAATGCAGAGTGGACAAAGGACTTTTGAGTAGAGGTGATCTCTATTCAGATTGACACTTTTGTTAGTTTTGAAAATCTGACTATGCCAAGATCTTGATAGGAGAAGATTCTTTTCAGATTACGTATTTTGTATTGGCGGTTGTGCAGTTAGTTGAAAAGTTACTTTACAATCTGTTGTAACTTTATCTACTATGGAGGTAGAATATATGACCATGATCAAGGCAATCAAAGAAACTTTGTGGTTGAAGAGTTTGTTTGGCGAACTTAGTCTGCATCAAGGTGTTACTACTATTTACTGTGATAGTCAAAGTACCATTGATTTGACTAAAGACTAGATGTGTCATGAGAGAACGAAATATATTGATGTGAAATTTCATTTCATTCGAGATACTATTGCTGAGAGAAAACTACTTGTTCAGAAAATCAATAGTAAGGAGAATCCTGCTGACATGTTTATGAAACCTCTTTCAGTTTACAAGTTCAAGCAATGTTTGAATTTGATTAATATTCGTTGTTAGTGATTTAGGCCCATTGGGGCTTATGTGAAGAAGGTGGAGCAGTTTTGCTATTGTCCTTACATGGAGAAGTTGAAGAGAAAATTTATATGAAGCAATCTCAGGGATTTGAAATTGAAGGAAAAGAATACCATGTTGGGTCATGGATTGAAGCAATCTCCAAGACAGTGGTATAAGAGATTTGATACTTTTATGTTGGGTCATGGTTATTCAAGAAGCATGTATGATAGTTGTGTTTATTTCTGGAAGTTAGATGATGGTTCTTTCATTTATTTGCTACTTTATGTTAATGACATACTCATTGCTGCCAAGAATTTTCTTCAGAAATTCACACTTTGAAATTGCAATTAAGTAGTGAATTTGAAATGAAATATTTGGGAGTGGCTAAGAAAATTCTTGATATGGAGATCAAAAGAAATTGAGGAGTTGGAAAGTTATTCTTGACAAAATTATCTTGAGAAGGGATTGGAGAAGTTTGACATGAAAGATACTAAACCTATGACTACTCTTCTTGCTAGTCATTTTTCAACTATCTGTTGCTCAGTCACCACAGTCAGTTGAAAAGGAAGAGTATATGGTACGGGTTCCATATTCTAGTGCAGTCAGCAGCATTATGTATGCAATGATTTGTACTCGTCCAGATATTGCACAAGCAGTCAATGTGATTAGCAGATATATGTCTTGTCCTGACATTGACAGGCTATAAAGTAGATTTTTTAGATACTTGCAAGGGACTTCAAACTGTTGTTTGGAGTTTGGGAGAAATAATGACACTTTTGTTGGTTTGGTAGACTTTGACCATGCCGAAGATTTTGATAGGAGAATATCACTTTCAAATTACGTATTCTGTATTGGCGGTTGTGCAGTAAGTTGGAAAGTTACTTTACAATCTGTTGTAACTTTATCTACTACGGAGGCAGAATATATGACCATGACCGAGGCAATCAAAGAAACTTTGTTGTTGAAGAGTTTGTTTGGCAAATTTAGTCTGCATTAAGGTGTTACTACTATTTACTGTGATAATCAAAGTGCCATTCATTTGACTAAAGACCATATATATCATGAAAGGACGAAATACATTGATGTGAAATTTCATTTCATTCGAGATACTATTGCTGAGAGAAACTACTTGTTCAGAAAATCAATACTAAGGAGAATTCTGCTGATATGTTCACGAAACCTCTTTCAGTTTACAAGTTCAAGTAATGTTTGAATTCGGTTAATATTCGTTATTGGTGATTTAGGCCCATTGGAGCTTATGTGAAAAAGGTAAAGCAGCTTTACTATTGTTGATATTGGGAACATGCCAAGGTGGAGATTTGTTAAAGTGGTGTTGTCCCACATCGTCTTTTGTATAAGGAAACATTTTCCTTAGTTGCGTATAAATATAGTGGGTCTGTGATGGGATTAAGTGTACCAAATCAAGAGATCTTTAGTGGGTTATTTGTACCTTTGGGTCATTAAACTTTTTGTTTAATAAAATATTTTTGGACTCTCTTGTGTTTTAAGTATTAGGTGTTTTAGGGTTTAGGAACACTTTCCTAAGGTGTCTTTTGTACTCTCTTCTTCATAGTAAAATATTTCTCCTCCTCCGCTCGTGGATGTAGATCAATTTGACCGAATCACGTAAATTCTTGTGTTCCTGTTTTATTTATTTTTGTTTTGTTATTTGTCCTTTTGGAGTTGCCAAAATCCCTGTCGTCAATTCTGTGGGATCAAACCTAACATATTATAACATGGTGAAATAAGAGAAGAACTCCAACAGTTACTAAATTCCGATGGATATGATCTCATTATACCTGAAACTGATTAGAAAACTTGAGGAAGCTGAAAAGTGAAAACCTTGAGACTCTGCCAAGAATGTGTCATGATTGTTGAGTGTTACGGGAAGGATGGTGAAAGTTGAACTAACAGCAGAGCAGACCACCAATGGCCTTACGGGTTCATGATAACGGGCCCTCGTGAAGGAAGTTCCGGGAGTGTCCAAAGAAAGCTAGTGGAATTGTATTTGATCAAATACCTCGATTATCAACCAATTTGTCTTTGGCTACCTTGCAAAACATGAGATGCAACTCTGGCTACAAGTTAGGAATCCAAACGATTACACTTACAGATGTATCCAAAGAATTGCACATATTTTTAAATCCAAAAAGTATATTGCAACTCTCATCTACTTTTAAATTCAAGAAAAAAATCTATTGAATACTATACACTCTCTTCAAAGAATGTTTATTACGATTACTAAATGCCAGGATAGAGATAACTTTGACTTAAATACCATTGATTCCCCACAGTATGTATATGTGTATTTATCCTTTTGCTTATACCATAAAATTGACACCAAAACTTCGATTTTGACTTAGATTCAACAAGTTCTAATTGTAGGGATCCCACAAAAAATGATGATTGGAAAGATTGAATTAGTACATTCACAAACATATTTGAGAGACTAAGCTAATTACACGCATAAGAATATGCTTGGGCTAATATATAAATATAAATAAATAAATACACACACATGTATATATATATATATATATATATATATATCATTATGGCCTAGATCCAGCCCATATACAGCCTCTGTTCACCTTTTATCTTCTCCAAAAGTTAATAAGAATTTGCAACTATGATAAAATTCAATTTTCTTGCCCAAAAAATGCCAACGATGTGAAAAGCATGAAGAGAGCAATCCATGTTGAAACAAAAGGAAGTAATCTGTGATTTTTATGCCTCCTAAAGCTATATACAACATAAACGCAGTGAGAAAAAACTTCAATATTACAAAATTAAGATGGAGTATGATATCCTTTTACCTTACAATCTTGGACAACCAAAATTTTCGGGCCAAGTTATCTTCAAGACGCTGAGACCCTGCCAATACACGAAAGTGTGTATTATGTTCTCGTTAGTTTTTACAATTAAGAAGCAGCTCCAAAAATATTGAATTAAGACTCCAACAATTGAACTAAGATTTTTGTTCCAAGTAAAGCAATTATGTACTTGATGAAATAAGAAACAACTCTGACAATTACAAAATTGTGATGGTATGATCTCATTGTACCTGAAATTTTTACAAGCAAGCTTGAGGAGGCTGAAAATCTTGAGACTGCCAAAGGTATGTACTTTTCTTCTTTTTTTCTGTTTTTCTTTTGATTTTCTACGAGCATGATTGTTGAGTATTGAGGAATCAATGATAAAAGTTGAACTAATAGGAGACCATGAGTGATTTAAAGAGTTGAGCATTACAATATCTAAGTCAAGGTCTTCCTTCCCAGTTCATATGCAAAAAGTCAAATTATTAATATTTTTGCTGCAATGTTGGTATAATTAATTGTTTTTATAGATTTTTTTTTTGGGTATGCTTTCAGAGCACAGGATTTGGACGATTTTTGCTAGTGTTGGTATGGCTAATTTTTTATATGGACTGTTGTTTTTGCTATACTGTTATAACGCAAGATTTAGATTGCCTAAATTAATTAAGCCAATTATTTCCCTTTAATTTTATGGGAAATTTTGGAAAAAAAGGAATGAGAAGAGTGAAAATTCATAAATAGGTGGTAAGTTTTAGGAAATTTATAAATGGAGTAAGGGCTATTATTCACATATTATTAAAAAAAATTTCTTGCAAGCTAAATTACAAATTAACCCTTATGTGTATATAAGGGCACTTGTATGAGCACGTACATCATATGTGCATATTTGAATGTATATTTATATTTATCAGAAAAACACATGTTTATTCAGTAGGATGCATGCACATCGCTTTGAGGGTAATTTAGTCATTTAATAATAAAATTATTAGTTGCTTTAATTCGTGAGTAATAACCCATGTCCCAGTTACAAATTTTGTAAAATTTACAACCTACTTAGATATTGTTAATATTCCTATTCTTTTTTTAAAAAAAATTTTCCCAAATTATTTTGACGACATCATACTATTCTGCTCGATCATGCCATGCCATATTGCCATTTTGATGACTTATGGAAAGCTTCTTAAGGAAGCAGGGGACACTTCCAGGAAGTGGTGCGGCAGAGACTTTGAAGACTAGAGGGAAGAATTTCTGACACTTGAAAAAGGGGAAATAAACTGTACAGTCCATTATATAGCAGCCTGCAGAATTTCTGAGAAGGAGCTGTTGAAGTGCATAGTTGTTTCATAGTTTGTTTTCCGCAGGGTCTGCGTAATTATAAAGTACAAAAAGAATTGTACATATTTTTAAATTGTACAAAAAGAATTTCACTTACTTTTAAACCTAAATAATGTGCAGTAGCATACCTTCGAAAGTTTAGATAGACCTTTTTTTTTTTTTTTTCAGTTGGGGGTGTCCGGGCCTACGCCCGACTAGTCCCCCAACCCCGAGGAGAGCGGGCCCCACCGATCCCCAGGAAGATACCCCAGTTGCTCAAGCTCAGGGTCGAATCCCAGACCTGTCTCACCTAAAGAGGCTACACAGGCCACCCGAGCTAACCGAGGGGGGCTTGAAAGTTTAGATAGACTGTTTATTGAATAGTGCTCACATCAATTGTGAGTGGTGTGTATACTGTTTAAAATTTTCAGTGTAACCTGAAAGTCAGCATGCCTTTTAGGTTGGACTGTGGGTTTCCCTTAAGTAGTGTGTGTTATTTATGATTGTTGATGAATAGTGCACACTCTCTTCAAAGAGTACTAGTGTCAATTACGCATACTAATAAATGGTAGGATAGAAACAAATTGAACTTAAATGCCATCGGTTTCTATAGCATGTAAATGTGTATTTATCCTTTTGCTTATGCAATATGATTTCTTAAAAATTATTTCCAAGCTATGAGAAATTTTAAGATGCTGTGCTCCAATTATAAGAAACATTACACGACTACTTAATTCAGCTGCATATTGATTCAGCAGTCAGCACTAATGTTAAGTAATTAAGTGGTAGCATCTTTTAATTGTATACTATATTTTGTTTGGAAGCTATATGAATAGAGATTATTGTTCATGTTATATAATTCACAAACAAATTGATTGGTAGAAAGAAAAATCAATCACAGTGATCACAACTTAATAAAAACTTTAAAGCATAAGCATGAGGCATGAGTATGCAATGCTCTCGCCATTGTTTTTTCATTTTCAAATAAAATTTTGAAAGGGTTTTTCTTGGATTTTGCATGTGGACAAAATTTGAAAAATGAGTAAAATGCAATTTTGATATCTAAATTTTGACCCTTGAGTGATCCTAGTACCCAAATCACGTGCTGTCACATATCCAGCAACGAAATTGTAAAAAAGGTTTCATGTTTATATTTAATCGAAGGATTTTCAAATTGTCACTTCAAGCTCTTCATGTGAAACTATATTTCACAAACTTTTTTTTTTATAACTTCATGATTTCATGGTTAAATCCATAAAGATTTGATTGAAATGAGGGTCTCAAAGTTTTTTTCCCTTTTGTTTTGGATTTGAGAGTATGGAGAGGAGAGGGGAGTTATGAGCGTGTATGATTAGCTTGATTTAGAATAAGTTATTTTATTTTTAGCTGAGTGATCCACACTCTATTATTCCTTAAACTGGGCACCATGTTAGCATTTTTTTTTTTTTTTAAAATTATTTTAAAAAATTTTGTTGCCTGACACAACATAGCAAATGATTTTTTTTAAAAAAACAATAACCAATTTCATTCCTAAACTTTTTGGCCATGTCAATTTAGTTCATGTATAATTTTTTTTGGCCAATTTAATCCCTATACTTATTTAGCAGTTTCAACTGAGGAACGCTACGGCAGCGCCATCATGTAAATTCAATCAAGTCACTAATTGAACAACTAAGCAGGAGTATTTCAAGTAATTTACTGTTGGAGTTATTAACAAAAGAAGTAAAATCCTTGAAGTACCCAATTCTAAACCTTGGGTTCTTGACTAACAAAAAGTCTCGAAGAGGCTGTCCAAACTCCTCTCCCATAAGCAGAGAATTTAGCGCAAAATCCAGCTCCATTTCCTGAGCTAGTTCAGCCAATGACAACTCCTCATCCATCATTAAATCCAGATCAGGCACCTTTTGCTCAACAACTTCGGTTCCCTCAGCAACATTTTTCACCTTTTCTTCAACTCCTATCTCTATGGGATCTGAGAAGTGAGGCCATCCAACCAACCACGTTTATATATACACACACACACACACACCCCCTCCCACATTCATTCACCGATCAACATCCATTCCAACGGAGAGGCAGAGACCTGGTCCTCAAGACAAAAAAAATTTCCTTCCTTGTCGAACCCACCAAAACAACAATGGAAAGAAAAACATAATAATAGCTCCACGGACTGGACTTCCATCTTTTCTTCCCAACTTTCTTGAACTTTCTCATTTTTCCTTCCACTACTCTTTACTTACATCTACAACCGACATCTAAGACGTCGCCGTCCTCGTCTCACCGTTGCAAACATGGATGCTAGGATCGGAGCACGGGACACGTGTAAGCCACTCAACAACGATGTCGGCAGTCTCCCCACCAATGGCGCGGTCACCATCCACCAATCTCCCCATCCCTTTCAACTCAGCCGATTCCACTCTCGGACGCCACCTCGCTCGCCGTCTAGTCCAGGTCGGTGTCAATGACGTCTTCTCCATTCCTGGCGAGGTTAACCTCACACTCCTCGACCACATCTTGGCTGAACCGGGCCTCAATCTCGTAGGCTGCTGCAATGAACTCAACGCCGGCTACGTGGCTGATGGCTACGCCAGGTCCCATGGAGTCGGGTCGCTACAAAAGACCCGAATCTTCCTCACGGGTTTAGAGTTCGGTGCTGAGATTTATGTCGGCAAGATTCCAATCGAGTTTTGAGAATATTGGGGCTTTATTGAAGAAGCTCCACTGAATTTCAGTTTCCTTTGTTGTTCTGTTACTGACAATCACCACTCAAAAATCCCTTTCCTCTGCAAACCAACAGAGCTCTTCTCTTCTTTTCCCAACTGTTTCGATCCAAAAGGACTTGTTCTGGAGTTGAGTGTTTTGGGGACTTCACATAAAAAGCGATTTTTATCACTTTTTTTTTGTTCTTCAGAGGGCCTCATGCCTGATATACATCCCAACAGTGAACTACCTGAAATACCCTTTTTTTTGGTTACTCAATTAGTAACATGATTAAATTTGTATGGTGGCGCCGCTGCGGCATTTTTTAATTGGAATTGCTAAATAAGTATAGGAATTAAATTGACTAAAAAAATTATACATGAATTAAATTGACACTACAAAAAAATTTAGAGATAAAATTGGACATTTTTCCTTTTTTTTAAGTTGAAACTTGAAAAATTCAATCAAAGATACTAAATGTGCTTAAATATTATAACATAAGGTACAAAATTTATTTTCATCCAAAATTTGGTCACCAAAATTGCTCAAGGGTCAAGATTTGATTACCGAAACTATGGCCCTGTTTGGAATTTGAGTTTTTGGGAAATTTGTCTAAAATTTTATTTTAGTGTATCGTAAAAATTTTTGAAAAAATTTTTTAAGATGAAAATTTTTTTTTCCTTTTTTTTTCTTTTTCTTTCTTTCCTTTTTCTCTTCTTTCCCCCCTCCCCCTTCCGTCCCCCGTCACCTCTGCCTCCAACATTGAAGAAGCAGCAGACAAGGTCCAAAATTTTTTTTTCTAAGAAGGCTGTGCGGATTTTGTACCCTGCAAATTTTGAACACTTCACTGTCATAAGGTGTGCCTGAAGACGTCATCATCTACCCTCTTTTTACGTCATCTTCCTCTGCCTTGGTTCTGGTTGTCTTCCTTTTTCTCCTCTACTGCAAAGTGTATGCTGCAACAATGAAGCTTTACTGCAAAACGGAATAGTCGGGAAGGATCAGCTTTCTCTTTTAAAAGCTTTCTGCATCTCGTTATACAAAGCCTATTGGCAGGGACCATCACTTACTGAATTTTGTCCATTACTGTAGAGGCACCTTTATTCCTATTACCTCGACTTCAAAATAATCAGCTCATCATCTCCTTTTCATTTCCCCCAAATGCTTTTCGTTTTTTTTATGTTTTTGAACATGTCCCTCTTTTGTTCTTTGCGCCTACATTTTTGCTTCATGATCTAAAGCACCGATGGAAATTTCCCATGGAAAGAAGACAGGAAGTTTCCCACGGAAATACCAGTCTCCATCTCACAAGGCCCGCACCAAATCAGACTTTGAAAAGCTTAAAGCCATTTTATTTCTTTTTTCCAGAGAGGGGGAGGGGGAGAAGAGGGGGAGAGGGAGAAAGGAAAAAAAAAA